CTCGGGCCTCCCTGCCTCCAGCCTGGACTAGAGCAGCTGGCTAAAATGCAGAACTAGCTGTCAGGCCCCTTTTCTCTAGGGGGCTGTCCACTGCCTGCAGGAAGCCATCTGGGCTCTAACATTTGAGTGGTAGCCCCTGAGAGCTCCCAGCATCAGCTTCAGTCCTCCACTTCCTGGCCTTGCTCACCTACCACAAGCTTCACTCCTGAGGCAGCTCCTCAGAAGCCTGGAAAACCTGCAGCAGGTCAGCAGGGGGAGGAAGAACTGTGGGCTGCTGGGTGAAAACTGTAGTCCTGATACCCTGTCCTCTCTCTCTCATAGGCTTTCCTTGGCAGTGGCAGGGAAGAGCACTCCCCAGGGTGGGCAGCATGCCCACTCTGCCCACCAGGGAGGATGCTGCAGCCTGACGGCAGCGGGCAGAGGCTTGGCACTGGCTGCTTTCCAGGAGGAGTCAGCCAAGGTCACAGGCACTGAGCTGTCTGACTGCTCTTCCTTCAGCCAAGGCTCAGTGTAAGGCGGGGTGGGAGGGCCCAGTGGGCCAGAGGCAGTTCTAGGGGACCAGAACCACCCGCCTAGCAGGAGCTGACAGCCCCTCCTCTGTCCCAAGGCCCAGAAGAGCAGCCCCAGAGGGTAGAGAAGACACTTTGCCTCTGTGTCTCATGAGCACAGGTGGCTAATCGGGGCTGTATTTTATTGGGCCCATACGGCGCTTTTCAGAAATTTGAAGCGACATTTGAAAATCAGGAGAGTTCACATAAAACTTTGAAGTCTGGATTCTACTGGCAGTAAGAGGATCGCTGCCCCAGGCTCACACTCCCACCAGGTCACAATCGGAAGCTGAGGCAGGGTCTCTGCTCTGCCCTGCGCCCACGGTGAGGCCAGGCAGAAGCTGTGTGGCACTCCACTCCCACTGCTGTTCCCCTTTAAGCAGAGACATACTCTGTGTCCATGTCTATGTCAAAAGCAGGGAAATGAAAGCCAGGCCAAGGGTAGTACAATTATTCTTTTTGCCCCTGCAGCCATCCTCATTGGCATTGCCTGCTGCACTCTGCAGGCCTCTGAGTTTGCAGTCCTTGTCTTGGGATGGCAAGACTTTCCGCAAAGTCACTGTGTGCCTGACAGAGAAACCAAATGCCCAGCACATGACCCAGGGATCTTTCCCACCCCTGTGGAGACTGTCTCAGAATCCCAAGTTCAAACCCCCTCCCACCCGACAGCCAGGCGTTTGGAGCCAACAGCAAGGCTGACTTCTCTGTGCACTTGGTCTTGAGATCAGCCTAGTCACAGCACAATCCAGTCACAGCACAGCACAGCCTCTCCGGGCCCCACAGCCTGGATGGGGGACATCACCCTGGATGAACTGGGTGGGCCCTAGATGCAATCACATGCATCCTGGTAACAGGGAGACTGAGGGAGACTGACACACACAGAAGAGGAGGAGGTGGTATGCCCACAGAGACAGAGATCAGAGTGACATGGCCATAAGCCAAGGGATGCCAGCAGCCAACAGAAGCTGGAAATGGTGAGGAATGGATTCCTCCACAGGGCCCCTGGAAGGAGAGTGGCCCTGCCAACACCTTGATTTCGACCCAATAATATTCAATTTGAACTTCTGCCCTTCAGAACTGCGAGAGAATAAAATGCTCTTGTTTGAAGCCACCTGGTTGGTGGTGATATGTTGAAGTAGCCTGATACAAGGAGGGGAGTGATGTGCCAGGATCAATAGGCTAAGGCTTCTCTTCCCACACCACCAGCCATGGCTTCCCCTCAACAACCCCAGACAATAAGATTGACAGATGGCAGACAGGGCAGGGCTCAGGCAGGAGCCCAGAACTCAGAGTGGGGCCCTGTGCAAGTGTGTGTGCAGGTGCAAACACACACACACACACACACACACACACACACACACACACACACACACACATGCACCAGAGGTGCCAATGTTATACAGCACTCCTTCCCCCAACATACTGCCCTGGGGGCATGGGGCTGGCTCTGGGGGAGACAGAGAATGGGACTTGCGGTGCCTGAGAGAGGCCTCTCCCCAAAAGGTCACCCTAGCTCCCTGGCCTCTGAGTTCTGCCCTCCTGCCCTAGCTGGGCTCCCGGGCCCAGCAGAGCTTAGCAGAGAAGCTTCTGCCACACCTGCAAGGCCAGTGAGGAGAGAAAAGTCCTTCCTCTTTCCCTCCCTTTTGGGACCTGAGAATAACAGTGGTGACCCTAAACTGCTAAGTGCACACCCAATGCTGGCCAGAGTCTATGAAGACATGTTAAAACCTTCATTTTCCACCTGTTTCCATGGGCAATCTGAAACCCCGAAACCAACCTCAGATGATGGACACCATTAGTGATAACGACTCTCTGAGACTCAGTGAGGTCCTGAGACACTCCAGGAAACCTGCTGGCTACTCAGGGAAAACAGGACAGTGCATCTCAGCATCCTGGAGGAGCCATGTGAAACATACTCATTCCACCCTACCGCACCCCCAGCCAGACCAGCAGGCCCAGGGCAGGTGCTCCCCCCTCCCCAGGGACCCATCACAGCCACTGCCCATCCACAAATGGCTGGGGACAGGGTTCAAATGTGTTCCAGGAGTTGCTAAGGGGAATGGGGAGTGAGGGTTGGAAGCTTCCTGCCTGCTTCAGCCACAGCTACACTGATATGTCAAGGGTCCCATCAGAATTCACGAGGAGAAAGGGTCCTCTACTGCACATGCACACGCACACGCACACGCACACGCACACACAGAGGTCCTGGGCTCCATATTCTCTTGCAGGAAAGTGCAAGGAGCAAACATACCCAGCCAAAGACACTGCTTTTCCATTTGTCCCAGCTGTACTGGGCCCTAACTGGGCCCGGGCTGATGGAGAACTGGTCCAGATCATGTGATGTCACCTCAGGCCCTCAGCCCAGGCCCAACATAACATGTATCTGGACCCCTCCAGTGAGTGAGTGGGCCTCAGCCCTAGGCCAAGTGTGAATAATCAGGAACATTCAGGGAGAAATGTGCTTTCCGTGGACCAAGTCACCCACACAGTTATGCTGACACTGGGCAGGGACATCAAGGAAAGGGGGCTTGGATCTAAACCTGTGGCCTAGAACCAACACACACACAGCCCGTGGCTGAGGCCCAGAGCTCAGCCTGGGACAGGCTCCCCTTGCCCCCTTCCAGTACAACCTCAGCCTCCAAACGGTATAATTGGCCTTCCCCAGCATCTTCTAAGCCAATGGTTTCTGGGCTTAGTCTGAGTTTGAAATTTTTTTCTTAAGTTCTGAATTCTAAGCTCTCACCAAAGTAGGTGGATAGGGAAGGGGGAAATGGGAAGATTTAATAGAAGGTGCCCAAAGAGCAACAGAATCACAGCTAATGCAGCCAGGCCAGCCAGGCCACAGTGCAGGGCTGCCATGTTCAGGAAGACAAGCACCACATGGAATGTGGGATTGGAAACTCGCTAGGACACCCGGGAGCCCCTCGCCCAGGATGAGCCGGACCCTCAGACCACCAGCAGTGGCCAGCCCAGAAGCCCCAGGTCCAAAGCACAAAGTGCCAAGCCCTCAGCTCTTTGAGATACAGGCTTTTCTAACCCCACTGGACAGATGAGAAGACAGAGGCCAGAGGCCCCAAACTTACCCAAGAGTAGCACGCCATCAAGGAGCAAAGCCAGGGACATGGTGGTCCCTGGTCTGAGGCACTTCCCTTGACCCATTTTTACTCCCAGCCACACCCTATGGGATTACTCTTCATTCCTCCCCCTGCAGAGAAGCCCAGGGGTGGGAAATTCGAAGCAGGAGGGGCTGAGGCTGGGGAAAGCAGGGCAGCCCAGGCATCGCTGTCCACAGCTCAGGCATACAGCGATTTATCACCTGGACGAAGGGACCGCCAGAAGTATTGATCAGCTCTAGAGAGTGCTAGGCTCCCTGAGGGAACAATTCTTTTGCAAAGATATGTGACACCACTCCTTGAAATTAAAATGGTGCCCTGCCAGGCTGCACCCAATTTATCTGTCAAGCTGGGAAGTCAGAGACCTAAGATAAATGAGCCAGGATTGCTTGGGTTGAGGGGAGAGTCTGCAATCACAGCCCAGGTGGGCCAGTCCAGTGGGGCCTCTGGGGCTCACTTAAACATGCAGATGGGCCTCACCCAAGACTTAGGCCTCTGTGCCTGCTGCCGCCTGCCACTAGCCAGGGATCTAGTACCTCAGGCTGAGGTCTGAGTCAACTCCACAGGCGTCAGGCACAGGCAAGGTGGCCTCATCCAGACCCTGGGGCCCTGGAACCTATGAGCCCTGCTAGGACCTGAGTCAGACCCCAACCTGGCCTCACTGTAACCCATGATCTGAGATCCCAAAAATGTTGGAAAGGTTTGAGCCTGGCCTCATGGAAGGCTCTGAGAGGCTTTAGCTGGGAGCTGTCACTATGCCTGCCCAATAGCTCCTTTCACACTCCTGGGCCCAGAGTGCACTGTGGTTCTAAGTTGAAAAACATAAAACCATGCAAATCTGCACAGGCTGTTGAGGTTGCTGGGAGAACTCCTGGGTCTTTGTGGTGAACTCCCCTCTCCTCATGGCTCATGGAACATTCAGGGACTTTCTCTGAAACCAGCCAGGAGGAGTGGTCACCATGGCAGGGGAAATGGGCAGCACACTGGCAGGGGAGGGAGGCTGTCTGGGGGCAGCAGATATCTTCAGAGGCATAGGCTCACAGGCACGGTTCAGGACTTAGGCCTCCTTTGCTCCCTGACACTTGCTGGTCCTTGGGCAGAAGAAGGTGGACCCTAAGGCAGCATTTACTGTTCTCTACGGAGTCCCCAGACCTGCAGGCTTGAGGCCCACATGCACACAGAGCAGAGGCCCCTGCCCTAGCACCCCCACTGTGCTGTGTGGTCAACAAGGGCAGGGTTCAGCCTCGCTTGGGACCAGGCCTGCAGAAAGGGTGCCTGGGTCCCTCAGGGGGTGCATCCAGGGCTTACCATGCAGCCTGCCCACGTGCGGCAGTCTTACCTGTGTCCAGGGCCTGTGCCCCGCCAAGAGAAGGGAGCTTGGGGTTGGATGGCCGGCGATACACCACATGCACACGACCCTGCTCAGCCTCCTTTGCTGCCAGCCCCTTCTCCAGGGGCTCGATAAAGAACTCCTCCTCCTCCAAACGGATCAGGCCAGCCTGCAGGGCAAAGATGAGATGGTTCAGACTCCCAGAGCACAACAGACAGGGTGGGGGGGCAGCAAGGAGGGTCCCAAAGGGCAGTATCTCCCACTTGACAGAGGTAGGTGAGGGACTGGAACCCTGAGCTGGAAAGGTCATGGACAGGGGGCTTAGGGGCACCATCTGCCCAGAGCCTCCACTTCTAGTCACTGAGGCTAGTGCCACTGGACTGTGGTGAGCCCTGTCTGGGGAAGGAACTCTGCCTACGTCATTCCCACCCCCATCTTCCAACTCTCCTTATCTGGGCTTGTAAGGCCAAACTGTTGACAACAGCCTGAAAGAACTGAAGTACAACTATGGTCTCTGTGTGGCCCCAGGAGGACACCAAGATACACCAAATATGGACCAGTGCCACCCACCCCCCAAGGAGTCCCAAGTCCAAGACAAAAATCAAAACTGTCAGCCAGGGCTGGATCTGCCCACAGAATTGCTGTTTACTCCAAATAGTATTTTCAAAATTGTGAACCCAACACCCAAAATAATCAGATTTCATGCTTCAAAAATGGAATTCCAGCTTTCCTTGGGAAATGCAGGCTCAAACCACATTGGGCTCCACGTTGCCAGGCAGGGGATGCCATGGATGGAGTGTGCGCCCCTGTGTCCCACTGTGTGTCCCTCTATCCTCATCAGTCACCAGCCCAAACTCTAAAGCAACTGAACTGCTGCCTCCCCCTGTATCTAATGGCACAAGGCACCAAGTACGCGGTATGTGGCAGCTCTGGGCCTGGGTTGAGGAGAAGCTTGATGGTTTATTGGCTCAGGCTACTAGGGTCTACAACATTAATTACTGTGTCGAACTTGGAGATTGCTATAGGGGGTTCCACAGGGCTGCAAGGCCTGTTTGGGTCCTTAGCGGTGTCTCCAGATCCAGTGGCTAGGGACCAGGGTAAGCAGTAGTGGTGGCCAGACCTGGTGGTGTGACACACTCAGCTGCAGGTGCCTGTGTAGCAGCAGGGACTGGGTTGTTGATAAATATGTAGTGAGGAGGGACAGGGTCAGCAGTAAGAACTGGGAAGGACAGTGGGCACACAAGCAGCCACAGGGCCGTGGTTATCCACAGGCACCCCCATGGTTGCAGGGTCTCACCACATGCACATGGCAGTGGAGGCTGATGACAGGAGTCAGGTTGGTGGCACATGTGCACAGCTGGAGAGGCTAGCTCTGAGCACTTGCAGGGCGGTGGGGTTCAGCCACGGGGGTCTAAGCTAGCAGTATGCACTCACACAGTCAGAGAGGATAAGGGATGGAGGGACAGGAATTCAGGCATCTGATGTCTGTGAATGTGAAAACCTGTGGGGAGAAAACTTCAGCAACGAAATCTTCAGGTCTCTAGCAGCTGTGATGGCCACTGGTTTCTTTATCAGTGAAAGTTGCTGGGTCCTCTGCAGAGCAGGACACAGGAAACCACAGTCACTCCCTCTGTGTGTCTGATACTGAAGGTCCATGCCCTTGTTTCCAACCATCTCTATAAATCTCAGCTTTGCCTGTCTCTGGGTGGAGTGAAGCTGAAGCAGATCCTTTGTGTGATGCCCCAAAAGTCTAGGAAAGCTGGTAACTCATCCCGCTCTCCCTTTCCCAGTGAGAACTCTTTCTGGACTGCTCTTGGTGCTGAGCAGTGTCAGCATGGGGGCTGGGACGATGCACATGAAGTGCAGTTGTTCTTCCTTCCCTTTTGTGAGGCTGTTCTCAGGTATTTTGTTCCACTGCATTGCTGAAGTTTCATAAGTGGACTCCTGAGCTCTCCAGAGCTGTTCTGGTTCATAGGTAGCTGTCTAACTGTCGATCTTTATTGAGGGACAGGGTCTTCTGCTCTGCAAACTTGATGACCTCACTCAGGGGCTTTTAAAAGCTTGAATGAGTTGGACTGATTTAAGTATCAGGATATTTTACGTAAATGACCAGATTTCCAAATTCTCTTGAAACATCAGAATTGGTCCATTCAGCTAGCAGTGGCTGGATTTCCCTCTAGGGTGAAGGGATTAAGCAAAGAAAAAAAAGAAAGACTCATGGACAGACAACAGTATGGGGATTGCCAGGGAGAGGGCGGGAGGGAGGTAGAAGATGGCAAAGGGGGCATAAATGGCGATGGGGGGAGACTTGGCTTGGGGGGTGAACAATATACAGGCGATGTATTATAGAATTGTATATCTGAAATCTGTATAATTTTATTAGCCAATGTCACCCCAATAATTTCAATAAAGAGTTAACAGTTAAAGTTTAGGGTGAGTTTTGCTTTCTAATAAGTGTTTTCTGTATTTTTGAGAAGGGCACTATATCAAAACAGACAATTTAGAGAAAAGACCAGGGAAGGGATCAGAGAAGAATAGAGAGGGAAATGAAACAAACCAGATCCCCACAAGCGTGCCTTGATGGCCACGGAGGGGCTGGGCCGACGGTTCTCCCACTAAGTGAGGCAGTGCCAGGGCGGCCCCCACAGGAGCTGGCCTCTTCAGCCTGAGAGTCCAGACTGTCCCACACTCAGCCCCTGAGCACCCCAGCACTGGGAAGGCCTCCAGGAAATTATACAGCTAGTCTCAGCCTGGTCGCGACAGGGGTCAGCAGGTCAGGCCCGGCCCCGGGGGCTATGACGGGCCTGCTCATCTGTCACAAAAACTGACACTCGCTCCTGCCACATGTGCCTGCTGACATTTTCCAGGGCATGCTCAGCACAAAGACTGCGTTGGCGAATGTCCCCAGTCACAAATTAACATTCACATAAATAACAGGGCGCTCTCTCCTAAAGAAGAAAAATGACTCTTGTTGCAGGAACATTCACCAAAATAGCAAAAAATGAAATTTTTCTTTCTGAGCTCCCATATCTCACCAGCTGGGCCCCTGCACTGTGGCCTTGAGATGTGAGGTGGAGGAGAGCCCAGAGAATAAAGTCAAAGTTCCTCATTCACGGTCTTAATGACAACCCCTTCCCTGGGCTGGCACCCAGCCCTGGGAGAGCCCAGCCTGCACAGCACGCACACCAGTTGGAACCCAAAACCCCTGTGCTCTGTTCCTAGCAGGCCTCCCTGACTCCCAGAGGCCGTGCACACCCTGTCCTTCCCCCCATCCTCTGATGTGGCTGGGCCAGCATGTCTGAGCTCCACCACACCAGCCCCATCCACACAGAACCTGCAGTTTTGTCACTGGCTGGGGTGGCAGGGGCATTAGTCTATGAGTGTCAGTGTATGCTTTCCCCCTAGATGTGTGTTATTTGGGGTGCTGGGGATGATTATGAGGGGGCTAATACCCCAATAACCAGTGTCATTGGTTGCAGGGTCCTTGGGTCAAGGTGTCACCTGCCAACTGTAAACACAAAGCCCCAGGCCCCACAGACACTGCCACATAGTCACCCCAGAGCCCCAGGAGACACACACTGGTGAGCAAAGTCCCCAGTGTCCTTCCGAGAGGCCCAGAGGCCTGGAGACGCCGCACCTTCCCTTGGCATTCACACAGCTTTACCCTCTTCTGCTAGCTTTGATGCTTCAAGAGGAAGCTGCAAACACATCCACCCACAAGAGGCTGGGCCAGCGCCTCCTCCAGGCCTGTCTTAGCCCACTTGAGCTGCCATAACAAAGTGTCACAGACTAGGGGGTTTCAACAATAGACAATTATTTCCTCACAGTCCTGGAGACTGGAAGTTTGAGATCAAGGAATTGCAGAGTCAGTTCCTTTTGAGGCCTCTGTCCTCAGCTTGTGGAAACCACTTTCTGTGTCCTCACATGGTCGCCCCCTGTACATGTCTATGTCTTAATCTCTTCTTAGAAGGACAGCAGTCACATTGGATTAGGGTCCTACCCTATGACCTCATTTTAAGTTAACCTTTGGAAAGACCCTACTTCAAATACAGTCACATTCAGAGGTACTGAGAGTCCAGACTTGGACATATAATTGGAGAAGGCACAATTCAGCCTAGAATAGCCTCCGTGCTTCCACATCACCTGGATTTGGAGCTGGCTACTGGCAGAGTGCCAGCTGGTCACTGAGCCCAGAATGATAGAGCTGGGTGGGGCTGCTGTGGAGGGAGCACCTCTGGACAGCAGGAAAGAAGGGTACCTTAGGGGCTGGAATTAGGCAGGAGAAAGGTTATGTCTCCAATGACACTGCAGCATCAGGGCTGGCATGTGGGACTCCCCATGCTCCTGCCTTCTACAGTGGGGATCCCCACCCTCATGACAGCAATGAGTGCAGACCTGGAAGACAGGAACACTGCACAGCCAGTCAATGAGGAGCAGGAGTGAGGACCTGCCTCCCAATCCAAACCCTTCTCTAGGGACCAACAGGAGCCCTGCTCCAGAGCCCTACTGGGGGCAGCTCCAAGCTGGTGTCATTCCTTCATTCTGAGAACTGGCTACATAACCCAGAGGTCAGCTAGGGCTCTTACCAAGGGGTTCCCCACAGAGAATCCCAGAATTTTCTAGGGATCCCAAAGCTGAGCCTCTACAGTTGCTGGAAAATAGGGGTTATAATTCTACATGGGCAGCACATCCGAAACAGGTTACTGTGCCCTGTCCAGAAACAAAGCCCAGGTCCGGATGCCCAGGAGGCCATGTCCTGTTCCCTACGTGGGATGTTCCTCCAGGAAAGCATGAAAGGCAGGAGAGGAAACACCAGCTCACCCAGAGTCCAGCTGCCTGGCAGGGGGTCAGGATTACTATCCAAGGAGCTGAGGAGCAACTTGACCTGGAGCACCCTTAACCCAGGTCTGTTCAGGGTAGGGGCAGGGCGAGGAAAACCAAGGCCATAGCACAAAGTGGGGATGCCAGGCCATGCTGACAGCTGTGAATGAAAGATGTGCTGCCCAGTGGGTGTGTCCCTCAGAGGCACGGCAGAAACAAACTCCCTGATGGGGAAAGTGCAGGCCACCCCGCAGACCACCCCACTGCAAGTCCTGCATTTCCCTGTGCAACACTGGCTCAGCCTCCCTCTCTCTAAGCCTCAGTTTCATCAGAAGCAGAAGGAAATGT